TTCAGCTTCAAAGCTTGCGTGGTTAGCGAGTTGAAATACCCGGACAGACGAACACACACACATACAAACATATACACACACACACACACAAACACACTGACAGGGTCGTTGAAATATGCGTTTTTGCTGCCTGTTGCACGGCAAAAACGCATAAAAACTGCATAACGAACTTACATAAATGAACATGTATTTGAGGGCAGGTGGATCTTTCATCAGCCTGCTCTTGCTATATTTCTTCTTTGATGCTTCTGAAATTTTTGTTCTAACTGCTCAATGTATACGACTTAATGGACCAAAACATTCTGCTTCACCTTATACATTTTTTAAATAGTTCTTTTACATAATATTTCCCTGCAATGACATATTCATTTATGCTTCTCCCGCCAGTTCTTCGTCCTTCAACTACTGCGCCAAAACTTATGCACAGGACGATAACTTGCGCAAAAGTGATGTAGATATGTAAAAGATAACGCAAGAATGAGGAGCACGAAACGTCTGCTGCGGCTGTCGTCGTTTCTTATTAAATTTCAGTAAGAATTTCACATTAGTGACACAAACGAGCAAGATTTATAATGAGCTATTTATCCAGTATTATACAAGTGAATCGGGAAATATTCTAGAAACGGTTCAGGATCGAGGAGAGGTTTTAGCACCACTGGCAAAGTAAGAATACAGCGCTTTGCTTTTTTTCATAGCCCGAGAAGTCTGAACTGTTTGATTATTTTTTAGAGATCAAGGCTGGAAAAAGCAAAAATTTAAATTAAAAACTTTTGGCACTAGTTCAAACTCCGTAGTTTCCAATATATTCTTTTTATCTCAGCACTTTTTTCTTATAAATCTGTTTTCCTTTTTCCTATTATTGTTGCAAAGCTTGAAACCGAACCGAAGAAATTCCTGCACTCAGTTTCCAGTGATCCCAGCCAAAAATCATTCTCCTGTCCATCTCTTCCAGAAGAGTAGGTTTTCCAGCAAATATGAAAGAAGATTACGAAAAATTTCGCATACTTTGCATTCTGCCATTCAAAAACTGCATAGTATCCGTGAAATCATCTTCATCGCTGCCCGTCTCGTTTGAAGCCACGTCCGTCAACTTTTCTGTGTCACTGATCGAATCAAGATGGAGAGCGATAAATTTGGCGTTTTGGTCCGCATTAGCTGTGTAACTATCATTACCGCTTACGGAGGCATTTCGGCTTTCGTTGGCAACATAATTATCAGTGGTGGCAACAGTGCCGTACTGGCCTGTTCTTTGTACGTTACGATCATTTTTACTGCTTTCTGGTTCATCTGCAATCAGACAGCTCAGCTTTTCGCGGTCACTTGCAGTTGCCATTGCTGCTTATAAAACTGACCCAGTACATTTCTTATCAGCGATCAGGAAGAACAACGAGCTGAGTGTCCGCTACACTTTAAAATCTTTGGTGGAAAATTTTGCAGCTTAGAAATCACATATCGACTACTTTTGCACACGCTAGATGGAACAAAAGCAAGAGTCCGCTGGACAGGGCTGCGCAAAACGTATGACCGCAGCGACTACTCTCATACGTGCCGCTATTTTCTTCATTTGAATAGTGCCAGAGTGGTGCAGTAGCGATCAGTATTGTGAATTATAAGTTTAGTAATTCAAAATAAAGATAATCGCTTCCGGCTTTGATACTAATTTTTATTTCAAATAAATTTTGATTAAACTAGTATGCGCTACATTCTACTCTCTCACAACATATGCAGCGGAAACAATTCGCTGCAGAGCTATTTTGGGGCAAAGCAGCAAAGGCTTCAGGTTTTTTATACGCACCAGTATCAGTTTGTCATTGAAACGAATGAATGAATTATACGGGAATGAATTTGTTAAGTGGTGACATTGAATCTTTTACCTCTCACCAGAAGTAAAAGATAATTGGCCAACGCACAGGCTGCACGTGCGAAGAGGCATAGTTCCCCGCAGTTATTGTTGCTACTCGCACCGGCTTTTTCGGCAAATGCTCAAAGCTAAACAAATTAAGACTGCCCGCCAGAACCGTCAGAAAACACCCCCCTTAAAATTTCAGCTTTCCAGCTTCTCTGGCTCCTGAATTAGCAACTCACTGGAAAAAAAATTTCATGAGCCCGTGCAAGTTTAATGCGCATACCCTAGAGTTAGGCTTGAGCTGAATGAAACTTAGGACATATCCTTGTAAAATTACAGTCTTTTAGCTTCTGAGGTACTCGAGTTATCACCTTGCCCGAAAAAAATTTGGCGGTACCATACGCCGGTACCACGCTTACCCGGGGGCTGGGTCTGAACTCACTAATACCCACTTGGGCGCGGAAAATCCTCCTAAGATTTCAGCGTTCTAGCTTCTCAGATACCCGAGTTATGAACTAACCCGAAAAAAAATTTTGGCGGGCCCGCACGCGGATACCACGCTTACCTGGGGTATGGGATTCAGCGCATCAACATCGACTAAGATGGGGAACATCACTGTAAGATTTGGGCGTTCTGGCTTCTCAAATTCCCGAGTTATGAACTCACCGAAAAAAAAATTCGGCAGGCCCGTACGCGGCTACCACGCTTACCTGGGGTATGGAATTCAGTGCATCAACACCGACATGCATGGAGAACATCACCCAAGGATTCGAGCGTTCTAACCTCTCAAATTCCCGAGCTATGAACTCCCGAGAAAAAAATTCGGCGGGCCCGTACGCGTCTATTACGCTTACCTGGGGTATGGGATTCAGTGAATCAACACCGACGAGGATGGGGAACATCTCTGTAGGATTCGAGCATTCTAGCCTCTCAAATTCCCGAGTTATGAACTCACCGAAGAAAAATATGGCGGGCCCGCACGCGACTACCACGCTAAACTGGGGTATGGGATTTAGTGCATCAACACCGACTAGGATGGGGAACATCACTGTAAGATTTGGACGTTCTGGCTTCTCAAACTCCCGAGTTATGAACTCACTGAAAAAAAAATTCGGCGGGTCCGCATTACCACGTTTACCTGGGGTATGGGATTCGCTGCATCAACACCGACTAGGGTGTGGAACATCATTGTAAGATTTGGACGTTCTGGCTTCTCAAACTCCCGAGTTATGAACTCACCGAGAAAAAAATTCGGCGGGTCCGTATGCGCTATCACGCTTACCTGGAGTATGGGATTCAGTGCATCAACACCGACATGCATGGGGAACATCATCCAAGGATTCGAGCATTCTAGCCTCTCAAATTCCCGAGCTGTGAACTCCTGAGAAAAAAATTCGGCGGGCCCGTACGCGTCAACCACGCTTACCTGGGGTATGGCATTCAGTGCATCAACATCGACTAGGATGTGGAACACCACTGTAGGATTTGGGCGTTCTGGCTTCTCAAATTCCCGAGTTATGAAGTCACCGAGAAAAAAATTCGGTGGGCCCGTACGCGGATACCACGCGGGTAATGGCGCCAATTTTAGGAATTGGGGCCCGCACGTGCATGTGGATTATGTTCCCAGAGTTTCAGCCCTGTAGCTTTTGTAGGTCTTGAGATGAAAAACCGTGACAGATGCACACACAGACACATACACACACAGATAACCCCTCGTCAATATATGTTTTCTGCATTGCATAGCTGCAAAAAACGTATAATGATGGAAAGAAAAAGTATTTTGAAAACATTTGGCAGTGTTAATGTTAAAATCTCCCTCTATTCGCTCTGTTGTCGATGGCTTCCTCTTTCGAAAGTTGGTCAAACTGATGACGGGATTTGATTCTCTGACATGCACTTGCACCAATTTTTTTTAGCAATGTGCTATTGTCAAAGTACTTTACTTTTTCCCGACGCATTTTGATAAGCGGATACGGTTGCCTGAGTGAATTTTCGAGTAGCTTTCCAGTTCCGTATAAAAGGACTATCGAGCAACTGACGCTTGATCACAATATGCTCTTGAACGGACGATTTCTGACAAGTAGTTCGGAACAACATTACAGACATAACGAGAATAATGGCATGCTCGCGCTGCCTCATTTTCGTAGGTGAACACCACGACACCTTTGGATCTATGAAAACACTAACAAATGAATACGCGACACTATCACTTGGCTTATATATTAAACGCTTTATGCAAATAATTGCACTTGAACGTACCGTGTGAAGGAAAAACGCTTGCGGCATGTGGTGATTTCCAGAGGAAGCATTGCGTGCATGAGCTTGCTTCTCGCGGACACAGTTTCTTTCCTTTGCAAAATGAGTGTGGGCTGGAAGGGAATCGATCCATTCGTCTTCATAACCGAACTAAGGTGCCATCGACCCTTAATCGCGCTCTACATAATCACCGGAATAGCTGTAACAAAAAGGTATATTAACAAGGGATGGAATAAGAGGGATCAAAAAAGACAGTAAAAAATGAAAATTAGGAAATTTGCAAAATCAAAAAAATTATTTTAATGGTGGGAAATGTTTCAGTAACTAAGTCGTTACATATATACCATTTGCATAGATACTCTTTGGTGACTGACGCTACTCCCAAATGTAGCGCACACCCTTCAACAAATACAGGGCATTTCGCCGGACTTTCGTGATAGTACTCATCTGCATGCTGGCAGTACTGGGAACATCGCGCTGAGAGAAGTCAACCGACCCCAAAATGACCGCTAGGAATCGTTCAAAGCTTTCACTTTTTGAAAGTATTGGAAAAAATGTATTGAGAAAATACAACGAAAGAATGTACCTGATAGAGAGCAGACAGTGTTGTCGATTTTCTTGTCCATCCGGAAGGGCCGTATTCACCTCCTCGGCATCATTTTTACTTGTGGACGTCAAACGGATGCGAAACGTGATCGCTGACAAAAGCAGACGGATGCTTCCTCTGGTTTCATTGAGGCCATATAAGCAATCAAATGCACCAGATGAGCGGTGTGCAGATACTGCGATTATGATGGAAAGTAAAATCCGATAAGCCGGTCACGCAAGTAAATCTGTGGAACTCGTGCTGCAGTAATTTCGCTTAGCAACTGCCTTGGCTTTGAATTTTTTTTTTATTGTTTAACAACGAACAAACTGAGAGAAAAGTAAACCAGGTAACAGCCAAATGAAACACTATCTATACACATGAGGCAAGTTCAATTAGGAATGTGATTATGGTTACCGCATTTTTTCTTTTATGTTATAAGTTATACCAATAATTGGAACAGAGGCCAAAGCATAAATGAAGGAAGCGTTATGAGTGAATCTGCTCCGCACACAGTCAGACTTCTGAAATTTTTTCAAGCCTCCAACGTTATTTTTCCTGAGCTTCTAAAGATAAGAGATGGGCCTAAACCTGAGGTAAAAAGTGGGGAAATGCAGCGATTTGGAAGTTGAATTCAATTGAAAATCTTAAACACAGTTCAGGATTTACAGAATCCTCACTACTTTTCTTCCGTGCTTTTGCGTTTTGTGGTTGAAATAAGTGACAAAAGACAGGCCCGTATACAGGCGAGGACTCGTTTTAATGCGTTTTGCACTGTAACTGATATATAAACACACAAAAAAAGAAATGCGTAACCTTCTAAAACACAGTGCGTAAGTAGTGAGCAGAGTATCAGGGCCATAAGTGATTCAATATGAACTACGAGCAAAAAAAAAA